GATTTTCTTCTTCCGGTGGATGTGAACGAGTAAATAAGTTAGAATGCTCTGAGTATAAGCACCCTCCTCTGAAAATTCCTAACTCATCCACTTGTTCATATATATCAGGAGAAGTAAATCGCACCTAAAATCCCAGCAAAAATTGCAAGACTGTAAACGGGCCTTTAGAAAGAAAGACCATAGAATGAGACAGAGAAAAATATCCCTTCTATATTTAACTTAAAATTTAATATATTATTCATATTCTTGAAAGGTAGTATATAATTATGCTAACAATCTGACAACTGAATAAATTCAGTGAATATGTACTTGCATTGCATGGATATAGTATATATACAATAATAATACTCGCTTGAGTAGACTTGTATTGATGATAACACGGCACACACAACCCATGAAGATGATCTGAAATAAGTGTTACAATTTTAGCTTATTCCAATATATGCGCGCTCAAATATCCTGCCTTTCTGAAGTTGGGATACAAAGTTCTCTTTTGTCAGACAGTCTCTTTTGCTCTTGAACAAGAGAAAACGAGCTCCATCATGCATGTCGACTTGCGTCGAAATTTTACTGCCAAAAAGTTAGGGAAGTTTCTTAAATTAATCATGACCAATGAAATTGGTGGTATGTAACCTGTATTAGCATGTTGTTATTCACTGACTATTTCTCACTATTGTATGAAATAAGTTTTGATAGCTATGTGTAGTAGCATACTTCCTTGAAGTCCCTAAAATTGAATATCCCTGGAACAAGGAACGTGTTTACCAATCTTCGTGTTGCGGAAATTTTGTTATGAATACGCTAATCTTCTTACAGCCATGGAACTGCGCCCAAAAAAATTTCTTCTTCCATCCTTCAACAAGGGAACTATTGACTCCACACTCTCGCACGATGTTATACAGTTGAGGATAGCATTTTTTGTCAAGGGTAACATTTACAGTCAGGCTGCGATCGCAGATGGTAAACATTGGTCCTTCAGAATTTAAGTGCCACTTTTCGTCGGCTGCTAGTATCTTAACCAGAAGTCGCTCTCCAACTGCTGGTTGCTTGCCTTATGCTAGACCTTTCGGCGCAAGCCCAGGGTGTTGAGGGGTTGAAAATGGTAAACTAAAGCGGGTATGTTCTAAATTGAGCGATATCACACCTTTATGCGGAGAAATGTTTACACAAACGGTACATCTATCTAATATAGAATGACATTCTTTCTTGTGATTTTGCCAATCGCGCTTTTGGCATTTTTTGTTGCAATAAGTCGTAACAAAACATTTGGCACACACTTTAGAGCATTTCTTACGACAATAGAAACAAAAGTCAGCGTCAATTCTGCTTTCAATTGGTGCTGTTGAAGAGAATGTGGAGTCGTTATTGTAACAAATGTTCTCTCTACACTTTGCTTTCTGGAACTGCTTCGGATTTCGATTGTAATACATCGACTGTTCAAATGCACCTTCACTGACAGACACCATTGTATCCCGTGGTGTGTCTTCAACCATCATTTCGCAATAAATTCCATGTCCACGATTGTCAAATATCTCGTTAAATTCAACAATTGATGGCATCCCTTTATTTGGGCCTACCGGGACCACTTGAACACCCCCAGACTTATTACCATATATCTTATTGTTAGAAAGAGTGCATCGGCCGTTAGTAATAGTAGCAATACCCAGCCAACCATTCTCAAAGACCTTATTGTTTGAAGCAGAAACGGAAGAAGATTTATCAACTAAAATACCATGACGGTCACTGTGGTAGATGCGGCAATTTTCCACTCTTACGTTTGAAGTATATTCTGTTACACAAATACCATTCCATTTGTTATCAAATATTTCACAATTTGTAATGTTACAAGCTGTGGGAGCATTCGTAATGTAAATTCCGGTCTCATTACCGTGAAGTTTACTTTCTTTTATCTCTAAAATTCCACATGTAGACACATGGACCCCAGAGTACTCACCGCCTGAGAACACACACTTCTCAACGTCGGCTGTACCAGCAATCACGGTCAAACCAGGGCTTTGGGAATTTTCGAAGGAACAATTTCTAAATGTGTCAGTGCCCCAGGAAAGAAATGTGTCTTGGCTCTCTTCTAAGCTACTAGTAAAAGCACAATTTAACCAAGTTGTAATCGAGCGTGGCTGGTTTTCCCAGTTTCCCAAAGTGAAGACAAAGGATACATTTGCAGCCATAACCTGTCGTCCACAAATACAAACTAATTCATTAAAGCGTACTACTACACTTGACTTCGAGTTGTCAACCCCGAGAAAAATGCAATCGTCAATTGACAATGCAAAGTAGGGCAATCTTATTATGAAAAAAGGTGAGGTCATAGGGTAATGATCTACATTCACATTATAATCGCCAGGCTCTATCTCAATTATCTTACCAGGAATTTCAGAAGCAGCTTGAGAATCAGAAACAGGCTTAAAGAGAAAATAGGTAAGAAGAGTGGAGCAGTTACAAATATATATTCGTCTCTCCAATGCAGAAAACGTTTCTATAAAAGGTTGATAGTCGCGAAATACATTTTGATTATGACAAAATGCAAGAGCGGCAAACCTACTTGCATCCCAAATCATATTTAACCCATGCAAGGCTAGTGCTTTCATGGCATAACCTAACCAACACACTGGCCGCTGTAAAAGATATTTTTCTGAATCAGCGAGAGCATCCCTATATTGGTGCAAATTTATGTAAGCCAGTGCTCTGTCACAAAGAATTTTGAGATCAAACGAACTTGCTACTGCCATTGCAGAAGAACAAAACTCGATCGCTTTGTGAACATTACCGCTGTTGAAATAGATATTCCCTTGAGCATGCAATTGCTTCATTTTAGCTTCAGGTCTAGTTCTCGCATTCTTATCAGACGTGCATGAATCAGCAGGTGTTGTGTAGGAATAGAAAATATACCGACGAACTGATTCAGGCAGAGGCAATTCATGCGGAAACAAGGTTTTCTGGTCGACTTTTGTTAAACATACCCTGCGTAAACTAATGATTTTATGTGCAAAATTGACAGAGTGTCTGGCCTCAACATGTTTGTTACTAATATTAAAATCAAGAGCACAATCATAAACTATTTTAGCAGTTTCTGGAATGAGGATTCTTTCGTCTAAAAGATGGAATGAATTTATAATGGACAGTATCTCTTGTGCGTGCAGACAGAACTTTCGCCAAGGGTAGAAAAGAGATGGATTGATTACAATATTGGAAATTCTATCTTGATGTTTGGCAATATCACCGGATAATAAATCGTCGGGCGAGGGGCACTTTGAAAAAGCAAACGACAACATACTTATTGCATCTATCAAGGACAAGACCTTCTCGTCATCAGATTTAAAATTTTCTCTTACAACCTCTTGAACCAGGCGATGAACAGCAAGAGAAGAACGCTTACTTTTCTTAAATAAGGAAAAATCAGTAAGCAACTTGAATATATGTGATGAGCCTAGTGGGGCGTCAACGTAATCTCGGTAAGCATCGTCTCCAATCGGAGGTTTTCCGCGATTAATGAGCTCTTGCTGGATTTCAGTAGGACTAAAAAAGGCACATGCATGTAAAAATCTAACAGCATAGTCGCCATTCTTACTTTTCTTGATGTATTCAAAGTTGACTAGCCACGTTGTGCGAACTGCCAATCGTTCTCGCGTCTGATACAGGGAAGCAGAGCTTGCATCTTGCGCGCCTAACAGTTCAAGAGAGTACTTTTGGTACTGTTCCAAATATTCGGACAGGCTACAGGAAAGAAGGCTGATGTACGCACATGCTTGTTCCAAGGCAAGCGGTAGTCCGCCAAGGGTTTTGAATTATTCATCATTGCAATTAAGCTCAGTTCTTTTTAGAACAAATTCTTTTCCATCTTCTAGATTAAAACATTCAAGAACAAGACACTGTGACTCTTTGAACCCACGTATAGTTTCAGTCATTATCTTTGGCTTTCGTCTTGTAGTTATCAGGATATGGCCAGACCCTTTCACTCTTCGTTTCCACGGGCCAGACAGCAACATTCCAATATTAGAACATAGGTTGTATTCATCCATATCGTCGAGAACAATTAGCCAGGGTTTTTTAATCTTGGAAATTACCTCTAGGGTTTTAACCAGAGTTCTATCAGGTGATGTGTCAAGTAATGTTCCAAAAAACACCGCAAGATCATCTACCGAGTTAGCAAACATTAATTCGTCTTCACCAGAGAACCAGAATACTCCTCCATCATAAAAATCTTTCCATCTATGTGCATATTCCGCATCAAGACTCGTCTTACCATTTCCTCCTAACCCGCACACTGATGCAATTTTTACTTCGTGTTCGTTAGCATCACGAAGAAGACTGTGGAGATTTTCTAGTTCCAGTTCTCGATCTGAAAACCACTCTGTGCTGTCGGGCAACATAAAAAGATAACGAACGTCTTTATTTTGAATAGAAAGTTTAGCAACTTGGTTTTCCAAAGCCTCTACCTGTTGGGAAGTCATTCTGTAACTGACAGACAAAGATTCTTGTTCAACTTTTATATCTTCAATATCTTTTCCCATCGCATACTGGATTTTCTGAAGATTTTGGATTTCCTTGTTGAAAGACTGGTGAACAGAGTGTAATGTCTCCATTATCTGGGACTGAAAATAAATAAAAGCATTTAAGCCTATATATCGACACAAACGTAGAATTATGGTTGGATATTTTCACATTTAGGCGATTTCAAATAACAAATGTTGGCCTAGGGTGGTAATTGTCTCTTAAGCAGTAATTGCGGTACTCTAGTTCAATTGGGGCTTTGCTCTATTGGACAACCGTTCATCTGTAAATTACTTATTCCTTGATAAAGCTATTAAAACTAAAACTAATTGATACTTTTTCCTTCTTAATTACAAAGATTTAACTTTGACATTTAAGAAATAGACTACTTTTTCGAACAACTTTTGGGACATTCTCAAACAAAGTCTTCGGAAGAAAGTTTACTCTAGATTTTTATGCACAAATCTCTTCATAAGACTGGTGCTTTAATAGTCGAGAAAGCTTTAAATTGGTCGGAAATCGTCTGACGCCCCAGCCACTATTTAAACAGTATATTTCAAAAATTATTTTGATAAAAAAATAGATAAAGCTTCTCATTATATTCAAGAATCCATCACGTTATTAATAATTATGAATATGTGTGCAGTTTAATGAAGTGTAATTCATCAACCTGAAGGGGTTTATCATCATCTAAATCATCTAAATCACTTATATTCAGCTTTTGTTGCCTTTTTGTATGTATTTGGTCTTCCAGCAGTATCTTTTTCAAGTTTTTTTCTCGACTATTTTGTATGCTTTTTACCCAAAACTTGTCGAGACAACAACAAATTCGACGAATGCCAAGCCGGGTAATTTTATATCTAGAACTATAGAAAATTGCTTTGTTCTTTTCTATTATTCCTTCTTGCTTTCTGGTAAATTTTGTATTTTAAAAAGCTCTATAGTTTTGTTTATATTTTTGGCTAAAAAGCAGTGAAGTGATGAAGAGGGGAGAAAACAGAGAAAGAGCAAAGCAGTGCCACAGATCAC